GGTCCTCTGGAAAAAAAATAAGATAAAAAAGAATAGAAACCTCATTGTTCTCCACTTGGGTAGGATAACATTTCTCTCTGGCATGGATACCTCTTCAACTGTACTAGCTTCTAGGGGACAGTGCAAAATTATGTAATTTAGACATACGAGGAAGTAAAATTAAATAGCCATGAGATGAGCATACCATTAAACAGATCTAATTTATAATGGGCTCTTATGCAAATTGCCTTTGAGCACTCAGTAAAAGAAAATGAAAAGAAATTAATAAGGACAGCTTGGACTAAAAAGTTGCAGAGAAAAAAAAGAATGAAAGCCTGTTCCAGCTCACTTGCCTCACATCCCGGAGTGTTAAATAAGCATTCCCATTATGTGATAATAAAATTTGCACTTAACTTTGAAGGGCCAAACCCCTAATCACTTTGCCACAGTGGCTCCAACCAGGTAAATAAGATTACAACTGAAATACCTTTTCTTTGCTATGTTGATTCATTATTGAAGGGAGAGAGAGATGCATTTTCATGAGTATTTTGCTCTTTGCCAAATGCTGAATATCCAACCGAAGTGAAGTCCCAGGAAGTGGAGTCCCATTAGCACGGGATTGCAGGTGCCAGGGCATCACTAATGCTCCTCTTGCTACACAGTTCCCTCTTACAGGTTAGTAAAAGGGCTTCCCACCAGTTTTCCTTCCTTTTTGTTGTTCTGCAAAAAAACCACAGAGAGCAGTGAAATCTGACAGCTTTGAACTGTTGAAAGTAATTTATTGCGTATGATTTTCAGTTAGTTTTGAGTTCTTAGTGTCCTCTGATAAAGGTGTTAATATGAGAAATAATATACTAAATGTATTCAATAATAAGAAATCTCTGTTTTCTCAGAGAAAAAAAAAGGATTATTTTTATCTTAGTATGAAAGTGATGCACTATTCTGAATGCCTGCAAACATCACGGCTTGCAGCTCTTGTTCCCTGCATCCCTCTGATTACAATACAGAAGAATTTAACGCTGTCCACTGAAGCCACTTAAACAATCTGCAGAACTTTGACTTTTTCTTGGTGTTAAGAGAGTTGTGCAATAGTTACTTGTTTAATTAATATTGGCCATCTTGTTCCTAATTGTTGCTGCTTTCCCACATTCTCAGCTGAGACAGAATATACTAAAGTGTATTTTCTCTGTATTTGTATAATGAAGTTTATAAATATTTATACACTGAGAGCAAGGCTATAAACACACTGTGTATACAGTGTTGCTGCAGACTGAGCACATTTTTATACTTGACAGGCAGAACTTGTTTCTGAAGAATTTGAGAAATCCTGTAAGCAATGTCATCTTCTTGTGCTAGCTCTTTGGTCTAGAAATGCTGTTATGGGAGTGCTGGTCTGTGGGAAGAAAGATCCATCCCTGTTGTATTTTATGGAGTCAAAACAGTGTTCTTCTCCATGTCTCACTGTTTCCTCTGCACTAAACCCAGACTTGTGGCTGTACCTGGTTTGTGTCCTTAAAGTAAAAGCAAATTCTCTGATGGAAGCAGGTTTTCCACTGGTTGTATTTTCAACCCTTGAAGCATTCGATTTCTGACAGTTGAATATGATACTTAAAGCTACAGACATTAATTATTACCCATTGGAGGTCACACTTTCCACCCATGGGACATTAATTTTCCTGATACATAGAAAATTCCAGCCTGTTAGTTTTAATTAAATATTTCAGAAGCACATTTTCTTTTAAATGGACTACAGTTTCTTATCCTTTACCCTTGATATTTGGCTAATTCTGCATATAATTACCAGCTTATTTTGCAAGCCTCCTTCAAAGTACTTTCCTGTTTCGAAAATCCATTCAGCTGTTACGTATTTGTCATTTTTAAAAAAGGTATATTTGCCAAACATTGGCCAATGTTGCCAACAAGAACATGGGGGGAAAAACATCTTCCAGGTTTTCTTGGGAAGTTATATTATAATAACAATGACTTACAGTCCCTTCTTGTGCCAGCAAACTGATGTCTCTTAAGCATTCAGAATTGCAGTGTAAGACCAAGCAGGAGTAGCAGTGGAGCTGTAGGTGACAGGGAGGATGGTTACTCAAATCGTGTTGTATAGAAGAGGTGCCAAGCGAGGCACAGGAGAGAGCTTGCACTGTGCCTCCAGGTATCCAAGAGTATGTGGTGAGGCTGTAGGGCGAAGATGCTGATTGTTCCCCAGATCCTGGCCCAGCCCAATCTCCTCTCCTGATGGGTGTTGCAAATGCAGCTTTGAAGCAGGACCATGTCACCAGATTTGAATCCCCTGTTATCTCAAGTTTTTGCCTGAAGGCCATGTGAAGGAAGCTGGAATCTCTGTTTTTCCATCTGAAAAGGAAAAAAAGCTTTAATTTTGTTTACAGAAGTCTCTCTGCTGGCGTTCTACACTTCCAAAGCTGTTTTAATATGTGAAAGTGCAGTTGTGTATTGCAAAGCGATCCTGGGAGGGAGCCGGAAGGGAATTGGGACTTCGCAAGTCCTGGGGTTTTGCTGCTGCAAAGCAGCAGAGCACTAAGGCAGCTCTTTCTGTTAGTGCTTCCAGCCCAGACCCAAAGCCTTTCAAGTCCCAGGTAGCACTCCCAGTGGCTGTGCGCTCTCCTCCGCATTCTGGTTTTGTCAGAAGGCTCCGTCCTCTGATACTATCTTGCTCTTCTCTAAACAATTAATAAAATGGAGACAAAAAGCCTAGAGGTTTAAAATATGTAATTATGTAAGTAATTTAGAACTAGGAAAATGCTGCAGAAACCAATTACAATTATTATATTTCAGTAACGACTGACTTGGCCAAATACATGTTTTGTGTGTGAATTCTATGGTAGATTTCAAGATGACATGCTTGAGTATGGGGTAAATTAGTTCTAAATGCTGAGGGCTTCCATATTAGATGTAAAATGTGGCTTATCCACCTAGTGAGCAGGAGCCTGCATTATATGGGCTGTCGCAGCTTAAATTTTGAGCAGCAAGGCAGGCAGTAACAAGTATTCAAGGAAGAAATCTTGAATAGTTCTAAGGGATGGCTTTGAAAAAAAATTGCACCTGATAATGCTGCAAAATATATTTTATTCCTTATATGTTATGGATTTCATGCAACTTGAATTGATTCAGGCATTTATTACAGAATTGTAAATGGCCAGCTGAGGTTAATGGGGTTTTATTTCTTTCCTTGTCTCCTCCCAGCTGGTGAGAAACTCTAGGTGAGACTTGTATTCTGTTCACAACTTATATATGTCCCTGCTGCAGGCACAGACGTCACTCCAAGCTCAATTTGGGTTTCATGTGCCGTTTTCAAAAGGAGGGTGTGTGGGTATGGGTGCAACACAGTGTATGGTCACCTGGAACCCTGTCCCTTTGCGGTTCCCTGAGACTTTGCTGCAAGCCCTGCTGCCTTCCCCTCTTTGGGAATCCCTTCTGTCTTTTGCCAGCTGAATGCCTCTTGGAGATCCCTTTCTGCTGACTGACGGATGGGGCGTCTCTCAGCCTGGGGTGCTTTATCAGCCAGGAGGGCTGATCACCTCTGAGTTTTTTGCAGCTTTTTTTCCTCTACTGGTGGTGGGGAGTGGTTGTTTCTTCGCTTCTTTTAAAAGAAAAATAGTGTGTCAGAACTGTTTGTTGTGTTTGCTCTATCCTTTTCCTGAAAAGACAGACTTGTACCTTACCTGAGTGTGATTAGGGAATAAAAGTGCCTGTTGATCCCTTACCTCCATGCTGATGTCTGGTGATACTATTGTATGCTCGTAAGTAACCTGCAGGGGTTTTACTATACTGATTCCCAAAACAGATTGGTTGTATTGGGATAAGAGCTACATATGAATGAGCCTTTCCATTAAAATACTGAAAACACAGTATCTGCAGAATATTGCAGAATGTAACAGGTTGTGACAGGACTCTGAAATCACATCCCAAATTGTCGGCAGTGTTTCACGCTGACTGTCCATGTGACATATCACAAGGGAGCTATTTCAAGACCATTATGTTTGCCATTCTAGTGTTGAAAAGATTCAAAAAGTACATTGCATGTACAGACATATGAACAGGCACACAAAATCAGAGCTACCAGTCACTCCTGCTCATTTCATTAGGAAACCACCAGTGACTCAGGAGTGTTTTGCAAAAGCCCCAGTGCAGAAACATATCATTTATTTCATGTTACTCTGAAGGTTTTGTTTGGAGTTTTCAGCCCTTCCTATTGCTGGTTTGGGACACCCACATCCAGAAAATGTGTGTGCACCCAGCGGTTGATGTTGCAAGACCAGTTGGCAAGCAGAGGCTCCCTAGGTGGCTGTGTGGTTCTGGTGGTCAGTGGCTGCTCTCTAAAAATTGAGCCATTTTTCTAGGTTATTTTGGAGTGTGCTGACTGACACCTGCCACAAGCAGTTAACTTTCACATTAAATCATTACCTCACATTGAAATGTTATAACTTTTGTATCTCCATCTTCGTATTCCCACAATGTGCTGCCACTCCATTGTCCCTGCCCTAGTGTTGATCACAGTAAATGGTATTTAAAAATGAAAACCAAGCAAACAATGAATGCAAACTATTTCCTACGTACAATTTCCAAACTAAGTCAAGTTTAACATGCGGTCCTCTGGAAAGCAGGATGAGTCAGTCAAGGGTGTTGAAGCATCTAGAGGGGACATGATGTGCTGATGGGGGCTGTCACAAGAAGTCTCCAAAATAATTGAGGGGGTGTCATCTTATGAGACATGGATTTGAACAGCAAGGTGGGTGTGAGAGGCTGCTGCCCAGGCTGCTGCCCTGGCTTCTTCCCCTCCACCTCCTGAGCTGTGCTACTTGGAAGTTTTTGAAGCCGTGCTGAAAAAAGTGGCTTAAACTGTGTTTTGAAACCAGCCCTGTTCATACTGAGCAGAGCCACAGAGCTGATTTGGTGATGTTTATGCAAGAGTGTTTTGTAGTGTTGGCCCACTTGAGCAGCTCTTGAGCCAAGCTTGGTCTGACTCTGCTGTTCATCTCTTGTTTCCTCTTCAGAATCGGTCGGCTTTTCGATGGCACGGAGCCCATTGTCCTTGACAGTCTCAAGCAGCATTATTTCATCGACAGAGACGGGCAGATGTTCAGATATATCTTGAATTTTTTAAGGACATCAAAACTCCTCATTCCTGATGATTTCAAGGTGAGATTTCAAAGGGCTTGGGTCCTTTGCATGTACCTCAGTAAAGAAATTATCTGGTGTGTAGTCAAAATAGAGCCCTAGACAGGGAAGGGGGATTTGCAGGGTATGGTGTTTGATTTCAGGTATGTGGCAAAAGTAAACATGGGGTTGCTAAAGTGGTATTTGCCTTTCCTGGAGTGGCATCAATATTAAATTTTCTGCTCCTGGCAGTAGTGTAATGAAGCAACTTTGCCAGGTTTGACCCAGGGAAATTAAATATCGTAGGATACTGATGGAGACAGAAAGGATGTTACACTGCAACTGACTGCTCATGAGCTTTGCTGATTACTTGTCCTCTCATCCGTTTTTATGCTTCCCCTCTGATTGCAGCAGCTCCAGTTTCCACTCCCACGCTGAAATTCAGAGAATGGTGTGGGAATCACAGTATTGACAAAATAAACTGCACACATGGTAATATTTGAGCATTAAGTCATAGAATATTTTCTCCCTCAGACTCTTGAATGCATACTGGAAGTTTAATTTTGGAGCTTTAGAGAAGTCAGGGATGAATAGTCCTGTGTTCATCATTTAAACTTTAATAAAGAGCCTGCTTTTTTTTTTCTTTTTAATAACAAATTCAATTTGTGGTAGTTCACCATGTTAGACATTAGCCTACAGAGGCAGAGCTTCAGACTCCATGTGATGTTTATCCACTAGTAGGTATGTGGGTGTATATGTGGTGTCAGCGAAGAGAGCACTGAAGACTGAGGTTACAATCAGAACAGATCTCTCTCATTGCTTAATGTACACACATCAGTGTAGCTGCCTGTGCCACTAACTCACCGTAGGAAATACAGCGCTTTGGATGGAACAGGAGAGATGATGGTGAAGGGTTAGAGCAGTTCACACTGGTAGACAGTCTTTTATCCCTCATATCTGAGACAGGTGTTTGGAGCATAATAGGTGTGAGGTTGACTTCAAGAGCTGTATTTCAGCAGCCTTTGAATCATCTGCTGTAGACACATCCTTGCTGCTCCCATGCGTGACAAGGGTAGATCTCCTCGAATAATGTGGGAGTTTGGAAGTAGCCGATAAGCATCAGTTCCTTCTTTTGAAGCCTTAACATGGCTTTGTGCTGCTCTTGGCACTTGTCCTGAAGGTAATCAGAAATACAGAAAAAGGAAAATCCACCTTTCATGCCATATTAAGAAATTACATATGTAGAGACTTTTAAACACATAAATATACTGTAGCTGTGCTGAAATTAAAAACGTAACTCCTGGCAAGTTCACCCAAGCATGCTGTTCAAAGGGGTGTCCTTCCTGGTTATGTTTTAAGGTGTACAAAAAATCAGTGATTAAAATGAACAGTAGTTCTTGTTTCTTAGAAATATATAGAGTGGGTGACTTTTTTTGTTACACATTAAATGTAAGCAGTACTTTGAGCATGATTTACGTGTCCCAGTCTCATCAAGTATTTGGTTTCTAGCTCAAATTCAGGGCTGTATTGACTGTTAGCAGTCTTCTCTTGTTGTCATTCTCTTTCTCTGTCTTCCCTAATTCTCATGTGTTGCTTTTCTCTGTATAAATATTTTCCAAATGGTTTTATGCTCTTAAACTTAGAAAAACAAGTTTTTTTAAAAAAGTGTTTTTTAAATTTAAAAAATGGCAGTAGTCAGACTGCACATCATCAGTTCTAAATTACTCCGGCGCTGGCTATGCCTAGAAATGCATTCTCTCTGCTCAGGCATTTGCGACGATGTAGTAAACAATACTGTGGGTAAAATGGGGAGGTATTAAAAAATACTTAATTTTTAAAATGCAGTAATATGTGCAATCCATTATGCAAATATCTGAATCATTTTACACTAAGAACCATTGCAGGCTCCCTCATTTACATTCTTATACCTGTTACAATGCCTGCTAGTGTTGCTGTAAGACGCAATGGATCCCAGTGATGAATTTTCTGAGTCCTGATTGAATTCTGCTCCATCTGTTCAATGAGGTCATTATTCTATGACATCACTATGGAGATAAAATACAGGGAAAAGTGGGATTTTTTTTTTATTTTTTTTGCCTGGATTTTTTGCAGAAGGTGTTGAGTAAGCATAGCCTCTCCCTCCTCTCATGAGTGCTGCTATACTCAATCTGTTTCAAGTGGCTGATGGTTATTTTTGCTTGCACTGTTATTTTATTACACCTTCCTACACAGTAATTAGGAGCTATGTCTGAAGGGTTCCAGACCTAGAGCAGTGTTGGCCTGAATAACCTTATACATTAAGTGGTACATGAGCCATGCCTCTTCCATAATTGTGCACAGTAATGTATGTGTCTTTCAGGACTACAGTTTGTTATATGAAGAAGCAAAGTATTTCCAGCTTCAGCCCATGTTAGGAGAGATGGAAAGGTGGAAACAGGACCGGGAGAGTGGCCGCTTCTCAAAGTCTTGCGAGTGCCTGGTGGTGAGAGTTGCCCCAGACCTTGGAGAGAGGATTACACTGAGTGGAGATAAGTCATTGATAGAAGAAGTGTTTCCAGAAATCGGTGACGTGATGTGTAATTCTGTCAACGCTGGCTGGAATCACGACTCGACGCACGTCATCCGCTTTCCGCTGAACGGATACTGTCACCTCAACTCAGTTCAGGTAGGAAGTCACACATGCATGCTTTGAGAGGGAGGCTGCTGGCCAGGTACCAGTGGGCTGACCTTCCATGTTGCTGGACCGTTTTGGTGGACAAAATCACCTGGAGGCTTAGAGCTAGTTATTCACTTCTGTGGGTCACATATATCATCACCGAATCTCTTTGCAAGCAAACTGCAATAGTCTTAAAAATGTACTGTGGTCTCGGGGAAGACCATCTGTTTTCACTTTCACTTGGGTTTTCCTAATGTTTTATGTCATAGTAGAGGCCTGTTGTGATCGATAGGACAAGGGGTAATGATTTTAAACTAAAAGAGGGGAGATTTAGACTAGATGAGAAGGATGAAAATTTTTACAGTGAGGGTGGTGAAACACTGGAACAGGTTGCCCAGAAAGGTAGTGGATGCCCCATCCCTAGAAACATTCAAGGTCAGGCTGGACAGGGCTTTGAGCAACCTAATCTAGTTGAAGATGTCCATGCTCGTTGCAGGAGAGTTGGACTATATGACCTTTAAATGTCCCTTTCAACCCAAAGTATTCTATGATTCAGCATAGCAATGTCTAAAATCAGTAGCTGAGATGGATAAGAAAAAGTCTGGGAGAGAAATGCAGGTAATTTCTGGAATAATTATAATAAACTTCAATGTTAGTGTTATGTGTTTTTTCCTTTGTTGGTCAAAAACAACCAACCTCACACACTTACCTGCACTTGGTTAGCACATCCTGCGCAGCCAGCGCTTTGGAGTGAGAACATATTGATGATGTTTGGTTTAGATACACCTCCTAAATGCTGCAGACTCGTGAGCAAATTCTTATACAGAACAGGCTTGCAAGCTGAGCTTAGCATCTTTTCATCTGCCAGATCCTGCTGTCCAGGTAGAGAATCATAGAATCATTAACATTGGAAAAGACCTCCAAGATCGAGTCCAATCTTGACTGAACAACACCTTGTCAACTAAACCATAGCACTAAGTGCCATGCCCAGTTTTTTCTTGAACACCTCCAGGGATGATGACTCCATCGCTTCCCTGGACAGTCCATTCCAATGCTTAACCATCTTTTCAGTGAAGAAATTTTTCCTGATGCCCAACCTGAACCTCCTCTGGCACAGCTTGAGGCCATTTCCTCTTGTCCTGTTGCTAGCTGCCTGAGAGAAGAGGCTGACTCCCCCCTCCCTGTTACTGCAACCTCATTTCAGGTAGTTGTAGAGAGCGATAAGGTCTCCCCTGAGCCTCCTTTTCTCCACATGAAGTGAGCTGAGCACTGGAGCATGCACTGAAGGCTGGCCAGGCACTGCATATTTGCTAGCACTTAATGCAAGAGTCTGGATAGACTAGATAACCCATGTTATTCTTGGACAGTTGTCTGTTACTGGCCTTTACTGTCATGCTGAAACATCAAAGTTGTTTTGTAACAGTGATTAATGCAAATTTAGAACAGCCTTAAATGTAGGATTACAACTTAAAAGGGATAGGACTTTCAAGGAGGGTTGTTTAGCCATATGTCATACTATAGTCTCAAAGCAGTTGTATCTCTTAGCACTTTATCACTCATTATGATGCTTACATTTTTGTTACACAAATAATAAATATGCTTGGCAATTCTTGATGTGAAAAACCTGAGTCAGAGTGGTAAAATATGTACAGGCTTGAAGAGAGATGGTGATCCCACATTAATAATGCTGCATCTTCCCTTTTGGGGTGATACGAGCATCTCCTGGTCCTAATAACAGTGTGAGACAGGACAGGGGGGACTGCCAATAGACCTGATGAGTCAGTTAACAAACCAAGCAATTTGTCCAGGGCTGGGCTAGTTTCCAGAGTTGCTTCCACCACATTTTTTCTCAGGACCCAAGTTCTCCTGTTCTATTTCTCAGGGCCTTGCACCAAGACATTTTGGGGGGGATCTTGGCTTATATTGTTAAAAACTAAAGATCAGGGCAAACAAAAATTGCACAGGTGTTTTGATTGCTGTTTCCAAGTTCTTTTTCCCCACCTCTTTTTGATATGTGCTGTGCAATTAGCCATGCTTAGGTACTTTGGAAAGACATTTCCTGACCTGAAGCATTACATGTAAAGACATGGTATGTCTTGTTTTAAGCCTTTTTACACCACAGCTTGCTCCTCCCCACACCTTAATCCTCCGTGCCTTCCTGCTGTTCTGCTTGCTTGGTGACATAGCTGGGAAAGCCTTGGTAGACACCTGCTCCCAGCACAACCCTGGTGAGCTCTGGTCATGCTGAACAGAGGCTCCCACGTCCTGTGGGGTGTGGGAGCATCAGGCCCCTCCTTGGGGCTGTTGGCTGCCACAGCTGACCCTAGTGAATCCCTGGAAGAGTCTCCACCACAGGTGAGGCAATGGAAGCCCAGGCAGCAGAACAGATGATGATGCTGAAAGTAGCACAGAGTGTAAGCAAGGATGCATCCCCTGCCTCTCTGAGAGCCTGGCCCAGCTCTTCTTTTTTCCCTTGTGGGTTTTGTTTTTCTTTTTTCTCCTTTTGTTTGTTTGGTTTTTTTTTGTTTGGTTTTTTGGTGTTTTTTTTGTTTGTTTTTGTTTGTTTTGTTTTCTTTTTACCCTTGTATTTCCCACTGGAAGCAACACTCAGGTTGGGAAAAAGGAGGAAAGAAAGTGAATAGGCAGAACTTATTAGTTCCATAATTAAAGTTAAAAGGCCCCAAATTTTACCACGGGTAACTGTGACCACAAACTTTCGTAATTGCGGTTGCTCTAGGAAATCTGATTGCAACTTTTCTGAAATTATGACCATGGTATCTACATTGTCACCATTTAGTTGAGGTGTTTGCTTGGCATCTGCTGTGCAATCCTGTACGAATATTTTGTATTGTAAATTTTGGACAGTACTTTTGTATTGAAAATTTTGTGAAGCAGAGAATGTTTTTTTCTAATCATGCTTCTGTGGCTAGAAGAATACTGGATTTGTTGACAGTACTAAAAAAGTAGAATAAATTTTTCTTCATTTTTCTTTGGCTCAGTGGCCATAGTCAGCAGAAATCAGTCCAATACTATTAAGCTGTGTAACCACTTTTGTTTCCTAGCTGAGTGCATTTGAAAACAGCACTTATTATGCTTGGGCAGCAAATAGTCTGTTTGATCTTCGTTTCCTCTTTTTTGCAGGTACTCGAGAGGTTACAGCAAAGAGGGTTTGAGATTGTTGGCTCATGTGGAGGTGGGGTGGACTCTTCCCAATTCAGTGAATACGTACTGAGACGAGAACTCAGAAGGACATCTCGTGCACCCTCCGTCATTCGAATAAAGCAAGAGCCTCTGGACTAAAATGGACATGTTTCTTTTTGCAAAACAAAAAAAAAGAGGAAAACAGGAAAAAAAGGGGACGTTTCATGTGCAGTTTGGACTCCAAACAAGTTCTGGAACTAAAATTGAATAAAAGACACATTTATATCAAATATAGAGACCACACCTGAATTCATATGGGAACATTTGGAATAGTAGTAATAATAATAATAATAATAACCTCAAGGTATAAAAGAAAACACACACACACACACACATATAAAAATATGTATGTATATGTATGTCTGTACATATATATATGTATGTATATGTCAAAGGGTAGGAAATGCAATGGCAAAAAGTGGTAGATGAGATTGGTGCTGTGATGGCCATTAAGTGTCCTAGGCCCTACCTGGGCCCACTTAACGGTGTACAAGCCATTACCATGGGGGGATTCATAGACTATTCTTCACCCATTTTCCATTGCCAAACAGCCATCCACTTTTTAATGTGTACACACCTTGACTCAACTTTATTTGCGTATGGAGGTTTATGTCTGTCTTTTAGAGGTGGATGGGCAGGTGTTCAGGAGACGACCATCCATTGCATTGGAAAGCTAGTCGACTGAAATTTTAAATGTAGTTTGTACAGAAGTCGCACACTTTTTGTCTGCCCTCACAGATGTGAAAGGTTAACTTTTCTTTTGAATGAGTTTTTTTGTTGTTTCTGTTTTGTGTTTTTCAAAGGGGGCCAGAATAATTAATATTTGGTAGAGATGCTCTGGTTTGAATCTGCTGCTTTCCTACAATTTTTTCAAATTTTATAATGTATTAAATACAATAAACTCCTGTTTAAAATAACAAGGCTCTGGTTTAAGCCAACAGAACAGAGAGGTGGGACTTAGCTCACTGCACTCTAGTGTGTGGAGGGGCAGCTGCTCTGGCAGGCAGTGCTGCCTGCAAACGGTGGAGTGAGTTAAAGGCAGCAGAGGCTGTTGAAGGATCTGTCTGGTGTGCTGCACATGACTGCTATTCCTTCAGCACTGTCCCTTTTAAGCTTTGTCCCAGCTGGAAGAGAAGCTGTTGATCAGATGTAAAAATTACACCAGCTCAGCCCAGGGAAACCCATCAAAAAATGATACCTGGTTCTGTAACCTTCAGTGTAACAGTGAATCCCTGCATCATTCCCTCGTGGCTAAGGGTTGGCAGCTTTGACTCTCCAAGCCCTTGCCCTGCTGATTGTTAATTACCCTGTTTGATTTTAATGTTGTTCATTTCCCTCATTTCAAGCTGGTGGTGTTGTGCCTAGAAAGTGAGATGGTCAGCCCCTTGCACTACGCCATTGGCTGGGTTGCTCTTGGTCGCAGGCAGTAAGTCCATGTCCTGCATTAGATGTCCTGCGAGTTGCTCTCTTGCTGAGTCTCACTGAAGCCACCTCTGCAGCCACCTGTTCAGGCCCGTGAGATTTTGCCTCACAATGCCACTGCACAGACTGCTCACAGGTTGATGCTTTCACCACCTAAGATGCACCAGCAAGCGCCACCTTTCCTCCAAAGTATCTTTTTATGCAATATTACAGAATATGACTGTTTATTCATCCTAGTATGGAAATTTCTATCAACACAATGGTGCCGGCATTCCATTCATTTTGGTGACACTTTGCTATTTATTTAAGAAAAGGAAAAAAAAAGAAATTGTTCAAGACATGTAACAAGGTTTTTAATATAGTCTGATAATTCAAAAAAAAAGCTACAATTTTTCTGGTTTTTATTAAAAGATGTCAGAGGACATCCTTAAATAACTCTGGCAGCACATATCAATGGTTTTGAAATTATTGAAATGTGAAAATGGGTGAGGGAGAGGGGCTCTAAATTAAGGTTCATTAGCAGGTTATTAGATCTTCAATGTGACGCTGATCTGTCTATTCACAGTACTGAAACAGCTGCCTCATTGAAAAAGCTTGTTTTCAATTAGCAGCAAGTAGTCCTCTTACAAAATAAACAAAGGCTTGTTCTTACTGCCCACAATTTGGTTGTTAGTTTACGTCTAAGTTGGAAAGCTAAAACCCTGGGAAATAAATGTTTTTAACAGATCATGAAACCGGCAGAAGTGGTATGAAATTTGTGCTGTCCAAACAGATGCCAGTCCCCATGGGCTGAGGGTGTGTGGGTGCCAGTGCAAGGTGATGTGGTGCTTCAGAGTCTGCTGCAGAAAACCTCCCTCAGCTTCCAGGTGGAGCCTCACTTTCTGGGGCCTCCACAGTGTACCTGAGGATATGTTTACATTGTCTGTTCAGGCCAAAGGTATTCTCATGTCCACACCTACTCTGCTAGCCACTCTGTTTATGTACAAGCATAGCTCCAGTGCTGGCTGGAGCCTGGGGGATGCAGCTTCTTTCCCTGCTGCTTGGCAAGCAGGCACCCCAAAGCCTGCCTGGCCAGGAGCATCAGCAGCCCCAAAACTGTCCCCCCAGCACTGGCAGAGCCCACACTGCCTACAGCCTCAGCACAGGCTGGGTGTGGTGGGCAAAGAGTTTTGCCACTTCCATCGTGTTGCTCCCAAAGCTGGCAGGTTGTGCTCAGCTAGTGGTTTTCCTTGCTCTGCTGTCCAATTCAAAGACACTGGGGATACCTCTGTGCTCCTCCCAAGTCCCCAACTGTCTGAGCATCTTCCCACTGAGCCTACATTTGTTGTTGATGGAGGCAAAAATCCACTCTGAGACGCTGGATGGAAATATCTCTGCAGTTTCAGTGTGGCCATGGAATAAGAAATCATGAATATTCAAAGTGATAGCTAATGAAAAATGTATGCAGGAGTAAACTAGCTGTAGATTTTTAGAGAGCAAATGAGATTAGTCCTGTTTGCAATTGAGGTTTGTAACCATGTGTTTTTAAAATGCTCTTTAGAAAAACTGATCAACAAACAAATGAGCAACATATTCAGGAAGGCAGAGGGAGTGGGGAGAACCAAGAAGGGCAAGATTATGATCAGCTTCTTTCTGGAGGTTAGTAATCTTGACATGTACAATAGTTTAAATTTATCTAATTTTTTTATTAAAAAGTTTGACTCCATTTTATGCAATTAGTGGTGCTGTATTTAATCACAAGAGGAAGAGCTGCAGTGAGCAGTAGCTACCAGTGTTGTACTTCAGCAAGTTGGTTAAGCAGCTGCCAGGAGAACTGCTGCAGACGTGCAGAGAGTGCAGATGGCACCCAACACCCTTTCCTACAGTGAGACACAGGCAGAGGAACTGGATCTTCATTTTTCTTTTGGTAACGTGAACACTGGATTTCTGCAATAACCGTCGACCCAGGCTTTAGTTTTTCCCCTCTTGCCTCCTTAAACAGTTGTGTAATGTAAGTATGGATCCTGCCATGCTTGGATGAACCTTAAAACTGTGAATGTCCCATTGAAGACTCAGTTAATTTAGTCCATGCTGCAGAAAGTGAAGTCCTGCTTAGTCACTAGGTTAATCTCTCTTTCCAGAAGCAGTACTTGTAAAGAGCTGCTGTTAATTTATTCTGTCTTCAGGTAGTTATTGGCCAGGTAGTCTGGGCCAGCAAATGTGTTTTCCTCTCCCTTTCCACATGTCTAGAATAAAGCTAATCATCTTGGTGTGCTTGACTGGCACAAGCAAGTATAGTAGAGGCATTGTTTTATGATGCCTGATAGAATCCATAACAAAATCCAGTGGGGACAGCTCACTAACCTCTGAAAACATGAAAGTTGAGCCACCCATTCAATTATTTTTCTTCATGCTGAACAGGCACCGATTTCAATTTGAAGAGAAACACTTTGTTCGTGAGCATAATTTTTTGCAGCAACCTTTAAAAATTGATTGCTATACTAATTACAGGGTTTTAACAGCCACCCAAATGACTTAAGTGAATTCTTTTTTAATGTTCACATTTTAGATGACTTGGGGGGAGGAAGGGTAGGATTTGGGGGGCTGAGAAAAAAATTTTGTTGACCAATGGTCAGTTTTTCAGAGAAATAAAAACATGTATTTCCATCTGTCATTTCTTCACCATGGAATTCTATATTATGAATTATTTCTAGGGACAACTGGTATTTGTATGTCGGCATTCATGCTGCCTGAGGTTTATTTACAGTGGAAATGAAACCAAGACATCCTTAGGGCTTGTAGACCAGTTGCTTTTCTCAGACTTCAGTTTGAGTGGTTTATTATTTCTTGAGGGTCTGGAGGGATAGCCACCACCAAAAATCAATATGTTGCATCAGGCCCCTGTGTAGGCTTTGGCTCCTACCCCATTGATCAGGTTTTTGAAGCCCCCCAAACTGACTTAGCATATGGGATCCTCTATTTGGGACTGAAACTACTAAAATCATATCCCTACTCCCCTTTCAAAAAATAAAAATGCAGGCACATAGTACACAAATTCATCCTTTTGTAAGCTGAGCTAACTCTGCTAGCTGGCAACCAGGATGCTAATGTTGATGCTGGAGGGAAACCGTAGGGCTAACCTGCTGAAGCATCTCCTGTTTGCACAAGGAGGAGCTCCAGAAATGAGGTGTCCTCTGACAGATGGGGAAAAGTCCACATTTCCTTGAATCTGTGACTCTTTCTTCCACGTTTGTTGACTAGGGACTTATTACATATTAAGTCCTGTACCCCCAAAATAATGAAGATTTTATTATTTTTCAGGTGATGTTGGAGATTATGGGTCAGACCCCATCTTCTGCCCTCCATACTCATGATGAACTTGCCCCACACCCAAGTTAGGAGCCAAAGAGGCACAGCATGACCACGGGCTGTCAGCATCATTGCATGGACAGCAATAGTGTCTCATCTCTGTTGCCCATTGCTTCTAAAAAATACAGCATTTTCCACTGCAGGTCAGAGGGAGCACGGACTGCTCAGAGTCTTATCTCTCAGCCTGACTGAAGCCCTATGTGCATGAGTTCTTTTCTCTAGAAAGGCTGTTGCTGGTGTGGGCAGGCTGGGTTTGTTGTTCTAGGGGAGCATGGAGTGTTTGTGCCCTTGCCCAGACCATCGAGCCCTGTCCTGTGGTTGTCAGAGCACAGCTCTGGCTTGATGGTCTGGGGA